TCTTCAAGCATGTTCTTTTACATATTACTTCTACGTCTGAAACTGTGAATGCATTTCCATGTTACTTTCTTCATACTTTAATTCTTCAAGCATGTTCTTTTACACATTACTTCTACGTCTGAAACTCTGAATGCATTTCCATGTTACTTTCTTCATACTTTCTCCCAATTCTTCCTGCCATTCTGGTATGACATAAGTTTGAGAACTGATTTTACAAAATTAGATCTTGTTGCATGTGAGATCTCAGGTTTACATTGAACGGAAAATTTAGAGTCTGGTCTTCTGTGTTATAAAATATCATGAAATATCAAAGGTGGTTGCCAGTATTTCAGATAAATCTGCTCCCTTCATCTCAAGTATAGAAGTGCCTTGAAAATGGAAGCTTCAGGATCCTTTAACACTGGTAACCACCTATGAGTCTACAAAATGTTATGTAGAAAATTATAATCTAAACAGCAACTTACTCTCTTTAAACAGGTGTGTGATGTCAAGGGTAGGCTGGATGGGTTCCCACGCTTCCTTAATTTCACCCCCAGTACCTCCTGCCCTAACCTATAAAATGAATTCTTCAAAGGGGCGGTTTGCACAGCCCAATCAACCTTCCATATTCTCTCTTCCCCCTTTCACTTTCTAATATCAGACACATCTATCCTCTGTGTATAACAATTTTCTTCACTTTCTTTCTTGATCATATGCCTGCCTTATTTCTTAACCATGCATGATATATTGCTTATTCATGTTTCCTAACTCTACATTTGTCTTATTTAATTTCTGTGCATGGAATTTACCTTATTTTTCCCACTTAATTCTATATCTGTTTTATTTCTTTTCTGTGCATGATAGTTCGCTCTCCATCAATTTTCCATGCTCTCTCTCTCTCTCTTCACTATTAAATAATCTATTCTATGTGCATGACATTTCCCTTATTTTTTCTTGAAAGCTCTCTCTCCATTAGCCTTCTACTCCCTCTCACGCTTTCTCACCTATCCATTCGCTCTCTCTTTCTAGTATTACACACATCTTTCATCTGCACATTACAATTTCCTCATTTTTCTTTCTTAGTTATTAAACTGATTTAAATTCTTTATTTCAATCTTGTGCCTGGAGTTTCTCTTAGTGATGATTATTATTTCTTCATCTCTTTCGTTTCGCTTCTGTGCATAGCAGCTTTCTTCACATTCATCACCTGGCTTTACTTACTATCAATTAAACGACTCTGTGTCTATGATATTTCTCTTACTTTACCTCCTTATTTCTATATCCGTCTTATTTCGTTTCTGCACACATAATTACTAGCTCCCTGTTCTTAATTCTGCGTTTCCTAAATTTATTTTTGTGCATGTCATTTCTCATGTTTTTCTTTTTTAATACTAACATGTTTCATTTCATTTCTGTGCATCACAGTTCTATGCTGTGTGCAAAATATTTCTTTCTACCCTTCTTCATTCTATACCTATGCTTTTTTCTACATAGGGGATTTATCCTATATTTCATTCTTTATTTATACAGTTTTCTAGTTCCCTTCTGCAAAAGACATCCCTTTTATTTTCCTTTTTAACTGTATATCGGTTTTACTTCATGTTTGTGTATGATAATTCTCTGCTTCCTTCTTCNCATCCATCACTTTCATTCTATGGCACATTCACTCTCAATGGGGAGGCCGGTTCTTCTATTTTACTGGCTCCTCTTCTGTGCCCTCCTCCTTTTTTCGTTTTGGTGGGGGTCGACCCCTCCATAAGGTCCAGATTTTGTTTTGTCGTAATCCGACAGAATATCCGGCTATGTGCTTCGCAATTCTCCTGCCGAATATCTCGTAGAAAGTAGTCTCCCGAGTACTTCTCCCTCCTAGCATCATTACGCATTATCCTAGCATTATATGCATCATGGCTCTATCTTTGTCTATTTTCCATTCTCTGTCTCTCTCTAGCACTACACAGTCTCTTCTACTTGCATGGTATTCTCTTATTTACATTCCCAATTCTATGACTGAACAAATATGTAGAGTATATTGCAATTCCCACTAATTTTTCACAAACTAACCTCTCTCTTTATTGTTAAATGTATATTCTTTGTGCCTGACATTTCTCTTATTTTCATTTCTTAATTTTATATCTGTCTTATCGAATAAATGTACATGGTTTTCCTTTTAGTTTCCTTCCACAGTCCAAGATCTACTTTATTTTATTTGCATGCAAGGCAGCTCTGTCTTCATATATTTTCAACACTCCCTTTTCCTCCTTATCATCAATATTTATTCTTTGCATGTGACAATTTTATTATTTTTCCTCCTTAATTTGGCCTCTGTATTATATCCTCTTACTTTTTACTCTTGATTCCACATGTATTCCTTCAATTCTACGTATGACAGAACAGTCTATCAACTTCCCATACTCTCTCCCTGTCTCTCTTTACCATCAATGAATTCTCCATTCATGGATTTTATTTTATTTTCCCTTCTTAATTCTTATCATGCTTCATTTCTGCATGTTAAATTTCTCTTCCTTTTATCCTTTAATTCTGCATCTGTCTGATTTCATTTCTGTGTATGAAATCTCCATCAATTGTTCACACCTATATCTCAACTTTCAACTTTATTTTTGTCCATAACTGAAGTGAATATGTCAAGAAATAATAGCGAATACATCACATGTCAAAGTCATACCCTCCATTTGTTATTAAATACCTAAATCTATCCTCTGTGCATGATATTTCTCTTTCCTTTTCTTCTCAGCTAGACATCTATTTTATATTATACCTGTATACAAAAGTCCTCTTATTTCTTCTTCTTAATGCAATGTATTCCATTTTATTTCTGTGCATCACATTTCCCCTATTCTTCTTTCACACTTTTGCATCTGTTTCATTTAATTTCCGTGTACAGAATTTGTCTTGCCTTCCATCTTAATTCTGAATATTTTATTTCTATTCACCTCTTCCCTCTTCTTCCTCTTCTTAATATTATATCTACTTGTTCTATTTCTGAGCATGACATTTCTGTTTACAACTGTTTTATTTCAAAACTGTATTTAAAATTTCTCTTATTTTTCTTTCTTACTTTAACATCTGTATAATTTAGTTACTGTAAATAAAATTTCTCTGATTGTGTTTCCTTAAATCTATGTCTGCTTCACTTCGTATCTGTGCATAGAACTTTTCTTACGTTCCTTCTTAATTCTATGTTTGCTTCATTTCACTTCTGTTTATGGAATCTCTCTTACTTTTAAATATACATCCCTTTATTTCTGTGCATGGCAACTTTCTTAGTGTTTCTTCTTAATTCAATATCTCTTACATTTAGTTTATCTGCATGGAACTTCTTACAATGTTTCTTATTGATTCTATGCCAGTTTTATTTCACTTCCATGTTTCATAGCTCTAGTTTTCTTTGTCTTAATTCTGTTCCAAGTCAGTTCCATTCAGTTCCTGTGCATGGCATCTTTCTTTCTTTTTCTTAATTCTCCATTTGTTTCATTTAATTTATGCACATGACATTTCTTTCTTAATGAAAAATCTGTTTTAATTAATTTACATGCAGGACATTTTCATATTTTTCTTTTCATTTTAATTTCTTCTATGTTTTTCTCCTCTCTCCATGGGATTCTTTTGCACTTCCTTCTTATTTATACATCTGTTCTATTTAATTTCTGTGCATGGCATTTTCTTAATTCTTTCTTCTTCATTTACACTCATTTTATTTCTTTCTTTGTATGACGTTTTTATTAGGCTTTATTCTTCCTTCTTGATTCTATATGCATTTTATTTCATATCTTATATGAAATTCCTTTTTTCATTCTTCTTAATTCAATATCTTTTCTTTATTTCCATCCATCACATTTCTCTTAATATCTTTATTAATCCTACATCTGTTTCGTTTCATTTCATTTCTGTTATGTAATTCCTCATGTTTTCCCTTCTTAAATCTAGGTTCGTTTTATTTTATTGCTATGCATGGTATTACACTTACTTACATCTTCTTTACACTTCTTATGCCTCCCTCTGCTTATTTCATTCTACTGTATGGAATTTTTGTTCTTTTCTTCTTAATTTTACATCTGCTTTATTTAATTTCTGTGCATGTCATTTATATTACTGCTCTTTCTTAATTCTGTGTGTATTTTAGTTCATATCTGTGCATGTAACACATCTTACTTTTTCTTCTCGATTTAGCATGTTATTATTAATTTAATTTTACTGAATTTCTCTTAACTTTCTTCCTTAATTTTATGCCTCCTTTATTTCGTTTCTGTGCATGGCATTTCCTTATACTTCCTTCTCAATTCTACATCTTCATTACTGCATATCTCTACATGAAACTTATCTAATTTTTCTTCTTAATTTATCATCTGTTTTATTCAATATCCATGCATCTCATTTCGTTTCCCTTTTCTTCTTCTTCTTAATTCTTTGTCAATTCTATCTCATTCATATGCATCACTCCTACCTCTCCTTTATAATTCCACATCAGTTTTGTTTCATTTCTATGCATGATCTGTCTTATCTCTCTTTTTTATTCTTTGTCTGTCTTGTCTAACTTCTGTGCATGGAACTATTCTTAAGTCTATTTCTTAAATCTACTTGTTTTATTTCACTTCTGTGCATGATATATATATATATATCTTATCTTTAATTTTCAATTCCATGTCAGTTGTATTTCATTTCTCAGGTTTAAAGCTCACATCAACTAATTTCATACAATCTCTCCATTTTTTCTTAACAAATAATCTATTCTCTGCATACAAATTTTCTTAATTTCCTTCTTAAACCAACATGTGCCAATTCTCTTTTGTGAACAGCATTTCTTTACTTTCTCTTCATAATTATACATTTATTTTTCTTGAATTTTGTGCACAATAGCTATAAATTTCCCATATTCCTCCAATCACTTTATTATCAAATAATTTATTCTATGTGAATATTATTTCTCTTATTTTTCCTTCCTAATTCTGTCTCATTTCATTTCTGTGTATATCATTTCTCTTGCTTTCTCCTTATTTTTATCCTATCTTATTTCATATCTCTACATGGTATTTTTCTTTCTTATCTTTCTTAATTCTATTTCTGTTTTACACCATTTGTGTACATGTCATGTTCCATTTTCTTTTCTAGTTCTATGGATCTATCTGCTTTGTTTCCTTTCTACACAGAATATCTCACTTATTTTCCTCCATTTGTTCTGTATCTGTTTAATTTCAGTTTTGTGCAACAAACTACCTCTTCCTCTCATTACTGTCACATACATCTATTCTGAGTTAATGGCATTCCTGTTACTTTTATTTCTTATTTCTGTACCTATTTAATTTACTTTTTGTACATAACATATTCATTTTGTCTTAATCCTTTTCATTTCAGTTGTGTATATGACAGTCTCCTGGCCCCTCTTTCCCTCCCTCCACTATCAAATAAATCTATTTCTGTGTGTGGCTTTTCTATTACTTTTTTTCTTAATTCAAGGCCTCTCTCCATCCTTCCTCTTTCTCTGTTTTCAGAAAAATCTACTATATCCATGGCATTTCTCTTATCTTCCTCTCAAAATTCTAGATCTGTCTTATCTCCCTGTTCCTCTATGTCTCTCTCTTTCTTCATATCTATCATCTATGCATGGCATTCCTCCTTTTTCTTAATTCTACATCAGTTTATTTTCATTCAGTACATGACATTTTTTGTATCCATTTTTCTTAATCCTGTGTCTGTTTTATATTATAACAGTGCATGACAGCTACATCTATCTGTCAACCCTGGATTCTCTCTCTTTTGTCTCTCTACTATCAGATAATTTATTTGCTGTAAATGGAATGTATCCTATTTTCCTTTCTTAATTCCATAAATATTTTCTATCTGTGAGTGCCAGTCTCTTAGTCTTGCTTCATATTTCTACATGGCAGATCTGCCTCTCTGTTAAACTCGCATATTCTCATTTTCTTTGCTATCAAATACACCCTGTTTTGTGTATATTTTTTTTCCATTTATCCTTCTGAGTGATGTAACTCTTTTTCTTTCTCTTATTGTTATTACATCCATACATCTTTTATTTCATTTCTGTGCTCAGAATTTCTATTTTTTTCTTGCTTTATTTCATTCGTGTGCATTCCATTTCTCTTGTTTCTCTTTCTTCAGTATCTGTTCGACTTCATTTCATGCACGATAAGTCTGTTTCTCCATCAAAATCCCACAATACTTCTGCCTTTACTAACAGATATATGTATTCTCTGTGTAAAACATTTCTCTATTTTTTCTTCTAAATTCTATATACATTTTACTTTACTTCAATGCATGACAATTCTCTCTCTGCCCCCTTCTTTTTACTGGCAGATGGCAGATGAATAAATATTCTGTGAATGATATTTCTCTTATTTTGTCTTCTTAAAGGTACACCTTCATTGCTTCATTTTGGTACAAAACAGCTGCCACTCTCTTACAAACCAACAATACCTCCCCCTCCACGTTATCAGATACATATACTTTATGTACTTAACATTTCTATTATTTTTTCCTTCTTAATTCTACAGCTGTGTATTCCATTTTTGGGCACAATGGCTCTCTCATTCCCTCCCTCTGCCCAAGGTCCCATAATATTTATCTTTAAAAGCATATATTTATATTCTTTTGTGTGGAATTTCTCTCAATTTCCATATTAAACCTATATTCTGGGTTTGAGGTTCTCACAATGGTGAATATCTTCTGGGATGTAATGTTATGAAGCCCAGTCGAGTCCACTGATGTTTCTGAGGAATGTACTTCCCCCATCTTCAGAGTCCATGAGTAAACTGGACTATATGGTACTAGATCCCTTCTTTCTATGTTCATTCTATATCTGTTCAATCTAATTTTTGTGCATGATCGTTCCTTCTCTACTTAAACGTCTGTACTATCAGATACATCTTATACTTTCTGCATGCCACTTCCCTTACTTCTCCATTTTAATTCTATGTCTCCTTTCATTGCATTGATATGCATAAGATCGCTCTTCTTAATTTCATTTCTGTGCATGTTACATATTTCTCTCTTTATTATCAGTTAGGTCTATTCCATGTATGGTATTTCTCCTAATTTCCCTTCTTATCTATATTATTTCTGTGCATGACATCTGTCTTTAATTTCTCTTCTTAATCCTGTGTTTCGTGTTTTATGTTATTTCTGTGTATGGCATTTCTTTTATTTCCTTTTCTCAATTCTATGTGTTTCATATTATTTCTGTGCATGCCATCACTCTTCTACTCCATTTTTAACGTCATGTTTCTTTTATACTATTTATGTGCAAGTCATCTCTCATATTCTTGATTTGTAATTGTAACTGTATTCCATATTATTTCTGTACTTTCCCTTCTTAATTTTATATGTTTCTACATTATTTCTGTGCACAGTATCTTATTTATTTTCAATCCTTAATTCTCCATGTGTTTTATTTCTTTTCTGTGCATGACACCTTTTTTATTTCCCTTCTTTCATTCATTGTATGTTTTATAGTATTTCTACACATTATAACCCTCATATTTTCCTTTCTTAATCCATATATTTATATTATTTCCCTGCATAATCTCTCTTATTTTCCCTTCTTAATTCTGTGTGTTTTAATGTAATTTCTGTGAACTATCTCTCTTATTTCACCTTCTTAATTCTCTGTTGTTATATTATTTATGTGCATGATTTATTTGTTATTTCCCTAATTAATTCTATGTGTTTTACATAACCTATACTCATGATCTCTTTCTTAATTTCCCTTCTTAATTCTACACATCTTATATATTACTTCTGTCATACCAACTCTCTTATTTTCCTTCCTCAGTTCTTTCTGTTTCATGCTATTTCTGTGCATGACACCTCTCTTAATTTCCTTTATTAATTCCATGTGTTCTTTATATTCTGTTCTTAATTCTACAGGGTTCATATGATTTCCATTCATGTCATCTATCTTATATTTTCTTATAATTCTGAGCGTTTTATATTATTTCTGCACATGATGCCCCTTCTCTCATCTTCCCTTTTTATTTCTGCATGTTTTACACTACTTCCATGCCCTCCTTTCTTCTCCATTCTATATGTGTGCATGTTATCTCTCCTATTTCCTCTTCTCAATTCCATATGTTTTATCAGTTCTGTGCATGAAATGTCTTACAATGCCTCGTTAATTCTGCGAATATTTTATACTATTCCTATTTATGATCTATTATATTTTCCCTCCTTAATTCTGTATGCGTTTTATGCTACTTCTGTGCATGATATCTTTTGTATTTTCTCTTTTCCAATCTATATGAGATTTATATTGTTTCCATGCATTCTTTACTTTCTCTACTTAATTCTGTGGGGATCTTATTTTATTTCACTGTATCTCTTATTTTCCCCATTAATGGTCGTTTATATTATTTATGTACATGTGTCTTGTTTTTCCTCCTTAATTATGTAGGTTTTACATTATTTCTGTGCATATTTCTCTTACTCCATAATTATGTGTTTATATTACTTCCGTGCATGTCATTTTCAATTCTGAATTCTATGCTTTATATTATTTCTATGCATGATATCTCTTGTTATTTTCCTTTCTTATATCTGCATTTATCTATTTATTATTTGTGACAGTGATATCCCTTATTTTGCTTAATTCTATATTTTTATATTACAGTGTGTCCACAAAGTTCCTTCGGGGTTTTGAAAAATCGTGGCGCACAAACAAATTGAGCTAGCAATATTCGGTTTGCGGTAGATTATAGTGAAACTCTGGAAGTATTTTACTGACCTCAGTAGACCTCAATGTGGGCTCCCTTGGTAGCATGGAGAACGTCCAGACAATATTCGAGCTCTTGCCATGTTCTGTGGAGCATGTCCGCTGGAATAGTCGAGATCGCATTCTTGATACAGGTCTTCAGGTCGTCAAGTCTGTTATCTGGTATTCGGAACACACTGTTCTTGGCATAAACCCACAGGAAAAGATCCAGTGGTGTTATGTCTGGCGAATGTGGTGGCCTAGGCATTGAACCGTCTCTGCCGATCCATCTTCCTGGAAATGTCCTGTCTAGGAATGCGGATTTTTTTCACTATGATCTGCCGTAAACCAAATGTAGCTAGCTCAATTTGCTTGCACGCCACAATTTTTCAAAACCCCAATAGAACATTGTGGACATACTGTATTTCTATAAATACCTCTCTTACTTTCTTCTCTTAATTTTATGTTTTACTTCATTTACTTTTCCTTCTTAATTCTGTGTGTTTTATATTATATCCATAGATATCTCTGTTGTTTTCCCTTCTTTTCTGCATCTTTTATGTTATTTCTGTACATCTCTCTTATTTTTCCCCTCATATTTTCTTTCAGTATTTCTGTGCATGACAAACATCTCTCTCTTTATTTTCAGATACATACGTTCTGTCTTATACTTCCTTTTTGATCCTGTATATTTCATTTAATTTCTGTGCATGCCATTTCTTACAGTCTTCCTTCTATACCATTTAATTCTGTGCATAATACCCACTCTATATACATATTCTGTGCCAAAATGTTTACTCTGTGCAACACTGTGTATGCTGCAATTTATTTGCCATTTTCATCCTACAACCCTAACAGGTTTGTTACAGACATTTTTACATTTGGTGTACCCGTCATAACAACCAATATATCTGTTTTGTATGATACATCTGCATGCAAACGCATCTTTTGATCTCCAATCTTGAATGTTTTCACATATCACGAAATAAGTTACCCGTATTCACATTCAGTTTCAATCTTTTAGGTTGTTCATGTAAATGTTGTATCCCTCTCCCTCCACTTAATTGTCTAGAACATACTAATTCTGTATTCTTCGATTTCTATTAACATTTTTTCACTTACTCTGCACCAATAATCTGTTCCATATTATACATTTCTGTACATTTTTCTTTCCTCCTGCTCAATGTGTAACATGAAATGACTTTTGTCTCATTCTGGAACATCTTTATTTTCAATCCCTGTCTAACATCTGTTGCATGTGGTCTCACACTTTCATTTTATTCTTTGTCAAATCTACATGTTTTCTAACTTTTCTTACACTTTTCCTTAACCCATTCTTCTTTCTGTACATTAAATTGGTTTCGTCTACAGCAATTTTTATGTATGGTCTCCATCACACCCTCTCTTTTATCCCTTAATGTCATAAACATCCCTAGCATATGATCTCTCTTTTGCATTATTTTAAATCCTGCAGTTGACTTGAGAATTCACTACATATATACGAGTATAATTACCATTCCCCCATACTCTTTTATTCTTTAAATGAAAAACATTTCTCATGTTTATTTGGTCTCTGTACACTCTGTCAATTTTCCTCAACTTGCTACATTTACTTTGTGCTACTATTTGTACTCTGTAATCTACACAGAGTCACTGGAACTATAAATTAGGTTGGAGTGAACCAGGTAATTAATAATGGATTATAGGCTGTAAACTCCTTCTACGTCTCATTTACTGGCATTGTACAGGCCAAGCCAGTGAATGCGTATATTTCTCTTACACTCTACTTATCTGATAATGCTAGCTGACACATCTGTATCTGCATCATTCTCACTTCCCTCCTTTTTCTTTTCTCTCATTCTTCCACTCCCTCCTCTTTCTACATTCCATGTATTCTGAAAGATGTCTTCATTATGTAATCTTACCCACTCTATTCATATTATATATTTACAGATATATATACAAATGATCTTTGTCGTCCTCATTCAATTCTCCAGAATATGTTTTTATGTTAAAAGCTGTCTGCATATTTTATATCATTCAGCTCTCTGAAAGATATAAACTCTTTTCTTTTGGTCAAATTACCTTCAACAATTAATTCTTTTACTATAACCTCACTTTAGTTACTGTGTACTTTTGCTGTTATTTAATCTACAAACTTTAAGCTTAACCTTTGCCTGTACTACCTTCATATACTCTGAAATGTCTCTTATATGCAGTCCTCATTATAAATTCATTAACTGTTTTTTTCTTCAGTTTCAATATACTTGTTCTCTTGTCATTTCCTATACCTCTCATTCTCACTGTCAGAAATATATTTAGTGTGCACTACATATTCCATAATCCCTGCCTCTCTCTCTCTCTCTCACTTCCTGTCAGTCTCTCTTGTGGTTACTTCAGCTCTACATTACCTCAAATCTATCAGCCTCCCTTGCTCCATAGCCTTCTGTCTTTGTCACTCCAGTCCTCTCACCTCTTTTCACCTTTCTCCTATATCCAAATACGTGGTACTGCTATCAGTGTCTGTTCACATTATCTATTCACTTTTAATCTTCACACTTTATTCCCTGTTTCAGCCTTCCTGTTATGCCATGTCATTAATCTGTTCCCTTTCTTCATTTTACCTATTGACCCTCTTTTCTATTTCTCTTTAACATATATCTGTCTGTAAAGTGACGACAGGGCAGCTGACTGGTCAAGACATATGTCCTAGGCATTAGATAAAATAAAGGAATACTAGATGAAACTCTCTTACTGAATGTCTAGGTATCCAGATTACATATGGCACACAGAAGGCTAACTGCATACTAAACCTGCTATGTAACATCTAAACAATTCAAATTTAACATCATTGTTTCTTTGTCCTCTTCTGCCTTCTTTATGTTTTTCATTGTTTTCAATTCTGTATCAGATTTTCAGCCCTATCCCTCTCTCTCTCTCTCTCTCTGTCTCTTGCTGTATCTGTTTTCATCTGTTTTTGTCACTTTCTCTTTCAATATGTCTTTCTGTATGTTTATTTCTATGTTTCTTCCTTTTATCTATTATTTTCTGTTTCCTATAATCTCCACATTTACAGTAGCTTCATATGTATTTCCACCCACCCTTCTGTACATTTGTCTTATGTAAATATCAATCCTGTCTTTTTCTGACTTTCCACATCTTTCTAATATACATCTTGTCTCTTGAATATATTTCTGTCTCTACTTCTGTATTTCTTTCATAGGTTCTTTCTGCAAACTAGTTCTGTGTATTAAATCTTTCTTGTAGTTGTTTCCCTGCCTATTGTTAACTTCCCCTGTCTTTTTTTCTGTCTTTGCCAATTTGTCTCATATATATTCCATCTCTGTCTGTCTCTGGGTCTTCAGCTCCTAGTTCTTTTGTCTCTGTAGTAATATCTCTGGGTTTCTTATATCCCTGTTTCCTGTATCATCCTTCCATACTTTGTCACTTTACGCTGCTTATAGGTTATTGTTAATGGTACTGCCAAAATCTTGATCCGAGAGGATGTTAAACATATGGCAAATGTATTTTCCTTCACAACACTCTCCTTTTATAAGCACACATACTCTTACATTCTCACCAGTTTTCATTAGTAACTGTTTGTAATTAATTTGATGTGATGCAGTCAGCTGTGTTATTTTCTGAGTATTACAGGAAAATGTTGTGTTTGTCTCACAGATGTTTTTTCTTCTTGGTATTTGGAGGTCCCTCAGTTTGCAAGACCACAAGCCATAGCATACATAGCTTACAAATAGACCCAGTACTGCTTGTAGCAACATAATTTCTATGATATGAGGTTCTCAAAGCAGTAAATATTAAGAAAAGAGTTTCCTAGAATGCGTTGACATGGAGTATGGTAGACATTTAACAGTGTTTCAGAGGAATCTGGTGACTCCATCATCAGGGTAGAAGACAGAGGCAGCAGTCTCCTCTGAAACACTGGTACCTATCTACAAAACTAGAAGGCACCACTTGCCAGAAGATAATAATCTTGTCAATATAATTCCTTCTTGGGTGGAAAGAATTAGACTCACTGAACATATGACATACACATTATATCAATGAACTTGTTCATCATAATCTTAAATTGTAAATGGGATTATTGATTTATAACATGTCTGCTTGAAAAATAATCAATTAAAGTCACTTATTGGAGTTGAAAACATTTAAACTTTGTTATCACTTCAACAGACTATAAGCACTAAACTAAATAATGAAATTCATGGCTGTGAGCACAACTTTCATTGTCTTTCATTTTATTACTAAGATGACTCCACTGCCATGGAAGGAGAAAACAATACAGAAAATCATATGTAGCTTCTAGTAATAATATCAAAATGTAAGGAAGAAGATGGCAAGAATAAGGAAGATGAATTATTATATGTCTTTAAAAAACTTCTCAATGTGCTGGAAGAATTGTTACTGTATGTCACTGCTCTACAACATTTCCCACAAGTTCTGGGAGATAAAGAAAACAAATATAATAGCTGATATCAAAAAGGTGCCAAGTTCAATGATGAATTTGTGGAAACACACCAGCATGTTAAATATGAAATGGAGTTGTAATGTCAGTATTTGATGTCCTTGCAAATGATATCTTATGGCAGGAGGAAGCATCATGGAACTGAAAAGTACTTCATGGTGAGTAACATATTTGACTCTGCATTCTTCATTATGCATTATTTACATTTAAATGCACAGAAAATATTTATTAAGAACAAATTTCTTAAGATAAATGAAAAGTGTAATCAGTCTTTTATAACACACAACTTCTCAGATGGAATTAATCCATATTTTTAATATCAGGTGTTTATGTAACAGATTATACAACTTCAACACATTGCCTCCTTTGAACTTCAAATAACAAACATTAGTTTCACTTAATGCAACTTTAAAGTTAGACGAGGAAAAAACAGGACATTAAAAGCTTATTCCTTCATTTACACTGTCCTATATCTTATTCTTACATGTCTCCTCAATAATCTTTATTTACAAACAATGTGTATATGTAAGTCTAAACATAACCTTAAAAATATTTCACACAGTATTAACCCTAGAGCAGATGGTACAATATGCTAGAAGTGGCCGCAGTACAAGGGACTTAGTCCCACCCCAGTAGCAATAAAAAAACCCTACAGCAGGCACAAGCTGTTTCATCACACTTTCAAGTGTGTGAGGGGCCAGCCATCGGAAAGTTCCCAGACTGTTCTTGTTTTAACTGTCTTGACGAAAAAAGAGGAAAGAGGAGGCCAAGGCTACACTTCTGCAAGCCTATCTCATCAGTCTGCCACATGACACCATGGTCTGAACATGCATTGTTTTTACACGAGTACTTTTTTACATTTGAGTTTCATTTTGCCTGCAAATGATGGCAAAATTGAACAATGTGTCTGCATTAAGTTTTGTGTGATGCTACCAGAATCCTTGAAATGCTTCATGAGGCTTCTATAGAACATTCTTTAAGCCAGATAGAGGTTTTTCAATGGCATTCACATTTCAAGGTCAGTCGAGCGGCAGTTGAAGATGAACGTTCAGGGTGACCAAGCACCAGCAAAACAACAGAAAATGTTGAAAAAATTTGAGAACTCATCCACGAAGACTGTCACTGAACAATCCATAAGCTTACAGACACCACTGGGATCAGTTATGGAGTTTGCCAGGAGATCTTAACGGAATGTGCGATGGAAAAGACTGGAACTTTGGTGCAACCACAACTGGCTCCTTCATCATGACAATGAGCCCGCCCACACATCCCTGAAAACCACAGAGTCTGTGACTAACAATAACATGGTTATTGTTCCCCATCCTCCCTGCTCGCCGGACTTAGCTCCCCGTGATTTCGCTTTGTTTCCCAAAATGAAAATGAAACTGAAGGGACGACATTTTGAAACTGTCTGACATCCAAAGGGAACCGCAAGCAGTACTCGACAGCATTAAGGATAATAACTTCCACAATGCTTTTGAAGCGTGGAAAAAATTATGGGATCACTGTACGATTATACATTCCCAAGGAGACTATTTTGAAGGAGATGGCAGCCAAAATTGGGTAAGTTATGCCAGCATTTCTTTTTTGACCTAGTCCAGGAACTTTCCAGATAGCACCTCATATTAGTCCCCATTTATACAATGTCTTGAGCAATTTTGAAACTATAACAGTGTGTCACTAGACGCCCTTATGAAATAATTAAAACAAATGATTAAAGGAATTTTTATTACTATGTGCAAAAGAAAATGGATACACATTAGCTCTTCAAAGAATTTATGCACACATCTTCAAGGTGATGATCACGTAACCATTGCTGGCACTTATGCCTTCTCTTCATCATTCTACCATGTTTTCAACCACATCTGAAACACTGACCTTTGGATCCATGCCTCTGGGACCATGCTGCAGGCTCATCAGTTCCCAGTAACACTTTGCAACATTATAAAAGTTCGGCAGGAATTTGTGGAACTGTAGGTTCCCACTGTATCTGTAACTTTACCATTTCCCATGCAGTGTTTTGGAAAAAGTCGGTTCTCTTGGTGTGTTGGCCACTTTATTGACTGGCTTTCCACACACACAGTAAGCACTCATTGCAGCTATATTCAGTATATCATGAAAAATAACCATAGGCTAAAATCTAATATTCCTGTTATATTATTGTTTGACAGAAATGATCCAACAGACCAACTCCAACTTTCATCATATTACAGAAATTGATCATCTTTTGTTCTTTTGTGGTCACCAGTCTCTTCATTAATGAATCATCATGATGAATCACTGAAAATACCCAAACTACTTTGTTCCATTTGGAACAATAGGAAACCAGCATGCAGTCTTCTTGAAATCCAAACCCCAATGACATTTCTCTCCTCTGCTTATTCCATAAAAATTCTATTTGTATTACTCATTTGGTCTTATAAAGTGTACCAATATATGGGTAAGATGTTTTTCTTTGATTAGATTCATAGCCAAAGGCATGATGGTGAACCAGTTGTTGCCCATGATATTTCTCTTCGTCACACAAACTGCTTCCACTAATCATATTACAATATCAAGCCATGTTACTTACTCTGTATGGTCCTTCAGGCTATGTACCAAAGCCTTGACTTAAGCCACTTCATCTCCCCACCTTTTCCTAAATAACCGTATGGAGTTTGGTCCCAACTCCACTGTCATCGTCTTCTGCCCCATCTTTATTTCCCTCAGACATCTCTTGCTCAAAGAGTGTAAGTAGCTCTTAATCTAAAATAAAAGCATACAATATATATTTTATTTGTGTAACACAGGTACTATGGGCTAAGATGACATGCTTGATAACTTAACCCATGATGTCACCAAGGACGTGGAAAAGCAATTTTTCTTACATATCTAACTTGAAGAATGAGAGAAAACCAGTCATAATATATACTTACAATTCAACAAATCCGCTGACAGATTAAAGAAAGCCTTAGAGCCACCACCAAGATCAAGCATGTGGATACCTATGGAGCAATAAGGAAGACCTCCCTCCATGGACACAAAGAAGAACGGTGCTTTTTCCATCCATGATTAAGAGTTTCACCATTATTTATTGTTCATTTGAATACCATATCTTAATTTTAGAGATGTAAAGAATTGCAAAATGCATGAGAAACTACTAGCAGCTATTACACAGATCATGAGTCGATTTTAAAGGGTTCTGACGATGGTGTATAACACCCAGAATTACTGGGTTTATGGGCTTTTTCCATCGCCTGCTATTCTAGAGACTAGAAAACATGGCGCTTCAGAAACTGCATCTGTTTCTGTCCTCAGGTGAGGGGGAAAGACACCTACTCAGTGGGGTCCCTTAGAAAGAGCTAACCAGCTCAACATTTCTACGACAATTTTCAGTGAATTAATACCTTATCCACAAGGAAGTGAAATGAGAGAAAAAAAACAAGAGAAGTAAAATATTAATTTTTCATCACATCAATTCAATTTCAATTCCTGTTATTTTAAAGGGGAAAGAAATTCTAAAAGAAAGCAATAATCACACACTCATAAAATTACTTAATGTATGTTCTGTAACACATATAAATAAGGAAAAAGGTGATTTTTCTCAGCTGAATATGAGTGTTACATTGCCACAGAATAAACTAAATACAGAGCTCTCCAGTTATGCGTTCTGAAGCTCCTGTTGCAGTGACTATCAAGATTCCAGTCTTTTGGGTTGTGACACTGTGTAGTTCAGTAGACATGTATTGATCGCTCCTTTTCTTGGATTTAATCATAAGCCCAGTAAAGATGTATAGCTGATGTGAAACTGATTGGCACTTCACCATACATGTTTGTGGGGCTTGAGTCACTGCACCACCACAAACAGAAAAGATTACTCATCTTTTGTGAGAAAATTGTACTTGATGGGATGGTTTCCTGACGTCATCAATGACCATTTAATTGATTCATAAGCACCAACTATTTCATGTCAAGTATGCAAAGTTAATTCACTGGGTATGCCGAAGATGTTGATGTACTGTCTGCTGATAGCAAGTTTTTATTCTTCTATTTTATGATTTCAAAAACAAAACATGTTCCAATTCCTCAGCATTAATTAGTAATGAGTTTTGAAAGCCATCATTTTATAGCGTACCTTCAGATTTTTAATATTTCATATTTATTTCAGGGATACCTTGTGTCTCTTTCTATTACCTAGGACTATTGTGGTCACTGTTTAATTTTTTCTCCCCATTTTGTACACACAACTTTTCCACCATTAAACATCCATCTAAAGAATTCTTTGTCTTTGTTTAGCTTTAGTTCAGAAGTTGCTGCTTGGTCTGTTGATGTGCGTGTGCCCTATAGAATACATGATCATTCTTTACATTTCATAAAAAAAGAGCTTATTACTGTGCCAAGTTAAAAAAAAACATTCTATAGGAATATTTTATTTAATGAATTAAGAATTCAAATATAACAAATATGTAAATATCATTTCACATACATTTTTGTACCCCATGTTTTTATTTACTTCTTTTATTTCTTACCTCCTAAAACTGTCCTTATACTAGTCTCCTACCAAAGTTCATGCTAATTTTATAAATGTCACTATGATTATGACAAACATTCATGCCAAAAGGATTATAAGAAAGCATATAAAAATATTATAAAGCAACAACTTGACATCATCTTATTAGGAAAACAACCATAAGCTCTGTGATCACTTGTTCAAATGAAATTTAAGCATGTGTAATACCAATTTCTTTTCTACTTCACTCTGCAACGTATAACTTTGTTCATCACCAAAATAGTTGTGATAAAACTGTTTGTAATTTCTAATGTAAATTACTGATGTTCATATATTTGTTCATTTAATAGTGTAAAATTCTGTAAAATCAGTTTCATTTATGAGTACGTATTACAAAAACTAGTTTTGAAAACATGTTAATAAAATTCTGATTCAAAATGCATTGTCCTTACTACCACATTATTTTTTGTCTAAAGTGATTAGATGAGGGCAGTTTTTTTGTGTGCATATTTCAACCAAACATGAAGTTTGTGTTTGTTCAACTCTATATGTTGGACATCACCAATGTGTTCAGAAAGACAAAAATATGCAAGTAGGTCCTGGTTTATGAATAGGTCTGCGGTCAACTTTTCTCACAATTTCATGTACTGACCATACAAGAAGAATGAACATTTTCTAACATCCATATGGCAGTGCTTTTGCTCAGTTCTTGTACTTATTTATATTTAAAATGCAGACAAAAATATTATCATGCAAATATAAATCACTCCGTCCAATGTGACCTGTAAGTTTTTTACTACATGAAAACTTAACACCCTTACATGTTTCGGTCTCTGTGGACCATCTTCAGAGGGCAAACATCACTACATGTGACACAACACACTTCTGAACAATGAAAACAGCACAGCAGCCATGAGCAAAGCCTGGACGATATAAAGAACCTCCACATCAAGATAGCCAGGTGGCACAATATCTGCCCCATATAAGAGGGACGATGGGAGGATGAACACGAGCCTTCATGGTTTACGAATTTTAATTATTGACAATCCAAAAAAAATTTTAATTAGCATCAAGAAATTTTTTACAATTTTATAAAAAACTTTACATTCCCAGGAAACTGCTGTGTTTGTGAAATGTTCAATTTTGTGTACTATGTATTGTAGCATATAAGTGTACGTACTTTACGTCTAAACAACTTATGTGATGGTGGTTTCCTATTTGTAGTGATGTTTGCCCTATGAAGATGGTCCACAGAGACCGAAACATGTAAGGGTGTTAAGTTTTCATGTAGTAAAAAACTTACAGGTCACATTGGACGGAGTGATTTATATTTGTAATTGTTAGTGTGACGGACCAGAATGAAACAAATCAAAAATATTATCATGCAATACATGAAGACTACTATAAATGGACATACACGCACGTGTGTACACAGCCAATACTGCACTAGCAAGCCAATTTCTTATGGTCATAATATAAAAAACTTTCATGATGACGAAATGGACCATCATACATTTATACAGACAGCTGGACAGGGAATAATAAATACCTTACAGAATGGATAATTTATTATTCTCACTGCATTATGATAATAATCCAATTTACTGGGTTTAGGGTTCTGAACAAACAGTTAAAACACAGACTGGCACCCACCATCATTTTAGGAAGAAAAATAGATTTACAGGCATAGGGTGAAATACAGAATATACACAATCTCATGGTTGCACTTATTCTTGCAACACGTCTACAAAACACTGCTGAGCAGTACGCATTATGAAGGATAATCTGTATTTTAAATGAAGAGTTAGAATAGTCTCTATACTTACATGACTGTACATGTTCTTACACATGACTACCGGTATTTACTGAATTCTTTGTACATAATCCTTAATTCAGTATTTAATGCTCACATTTCATAGTGAAAATACATAGTGGTACAGAACCAAATGTGTTACAAGCATGCACAACCTAGTGTCGAAACACCAGAAAACAGTAAAAAGCAAAGAAAATCAAAAAGTTTAAAAGATAGCCTGTTTTACCCAGCATATATGCTGATAAAATAAGCATGAAAACTACAGAGTATCACAAATATAGAACTAGTTTATCTGCAGATTCGATGCTGACAAGAAAAAGCATATGTTGTGATTTCCTAATGGCACATTATGTAATACTATAATGTTCTTTATAGACATACTAACAGGTCTATACAACCACCCGTGTCAAAATATGTTTTTTATGAATCAATACACTGAAAGATACTAGTCTCTTCTAGAAATTGCTATTAAATTTAGACATTATTGTCTTCTCATTTGTATCCACCCCCCCCCCCCTCTTACTTATAAGTATATGTACTTTTAAGGATTCCACTGAGAGACATATCAACCTACCGCCAATCTTTATATAAAATCCTGTCTGTTCAAAAACATTATTACTTTCTCTTAATAAAAGAAATATGAATACAATCAGTATGTTACTAACCAGAACCAAAATTCACATATACATGACATCATAGATCTGTTCAGTCTTAGGTGGCAAAAAGACATTCATGCTGGGACAATCAACAGGTTGGGAGTACCATACACAGGACCAACAGACGCACAGCATGCAGTCCTGGGAGTGAGGTGACATCACACCTGCTTAGTGATGACTATCAGAATATCTCATCATCGTTCCTTCCATCTACAGACAAATCACACTGATTATACTTGGCTTGAAAAATGTAATTCCATTTCAACTAAACCAAGAAAATGTATCACATCAGGGAAAATCAGAGAGACAGGATTTCTATAAATTGTAGAATCCTTATTAAAATGTCAAACAAGGCAAGAATATGTAAAGCAGTCACAAATATAAGATCAAAATGGAAATATCTTAATTAGATGTGCTGATAGGTCATTTAGGAACCTCCCGAAAATCCTTTCGTTGGTTGGGCAGGAGGGACAAGGGCTACTCATGTCATCTTGCACTGTGCATGTTCAGACTGGTGGCATAACTGAAAGACCAACAGCCTATACACATTACAAATATGGCAAATATGATAGTAGATGCAGGAAATACAGTTCTGGTACCTCTGAAAAATGTTGTCTAGTATGCTTTCAATTTCAGGTGGTCTGTGACCATTAGTGCCTAAGTTTTTGAAACCACAATTTCCTGTGAAAGTTATCCAGAGCACTTTTGACAAGAATGTTTAAGCCTTGAACTGATTTCATCCAATTTCTCTCTGATAAACAATAAGCACTTTATGATTACTGAACAAAATCCAGATATTTCTGGTTCTAGTTATCAAAAAATCAGAGACAATATAAACAAGCAAGTTTAAGGGGGAAAAAATTGCAGGTTATATCTGATATGTATCCTTAGGAACATATGCAGTTACAAATAGTTTTATTTTCTGCAATATAATGCCATGCAGTCTGCTGAGAGTCAACCAAAGTCTAGGAGGAATATGTTGCTTCCATCATCAGGGACTACACTAAGTATCCTGAAGATAGAATTCTTCATAACCACTGCTGTGAGAACCTCAAATCCTACTGATGCAGTCAGATCATGCTTAGGTTTCACAGATTGTCTGCATTTCCTGTAACTTACAGAACACTGTCTCCGAAAGAACTTTACACTTCAGTCCAATTACAGTTTGAGTACAAATTTCAGCCCAATGTATTTAAAATCTATTTTTGTCAAAAATTACAGCAATCTTAGTTACTTTCATATCAATTAATAGTATATGTGAAGTTTTATTCTTAATTATGAAATCAAATTACCTTAGGGATAACTACTTAGTATGGCAGTACTATATTTCTAGTACAGCAGGTTTTCCAATTTGTCCCTTGTATTGTTCTAGAACTGGATACACTTCTTCCTGAAGGAATTCAGTCACCTGAAATGTATTCAAATGTCAAGTAAGAGGCATGTGCATTATTGTGAACATTATAAGGAGCCTTCATATTCTATGAAAAGCAAGGAATTTCTTGACCAACTGAGAGAATATTAAGCTTGTCAAGAAGGATTCAGCTTCATGGAGTTAGTTATTATTTATTCACTAACACACATATGCAGAATGGTACAAAATTAACAGCATGGAACAGAGTCCTTGAGAAAGTTATGAAAAAATCCTCCACTTTTAGAGAACTGAGGTTCATTCTCATCATTACAAGCACCTGTCACTGGAATATATCCTCAATCAGTTCAAACAAGTCACAGTCTTATACCCAATTTCTTTAACAACCATTTTATTCTCCAATTTATGCCTATTTTTTTTTGTGGCCCCTTGCATTCAAGATTCAAGTTATTTTTCCATCCAAGTACAAGGTGATGTGTAATATTTGGTAACATACTAGGCAATAATAGTGTGGGGTCATTTAGCTCTTGCCTAATCCTCAAGCCAGACAAACACCCCACATCAGGTGTTGGCAACTACTTATTCAATATATTCACAGCTGGCATCCATACTGAGAGATCATCTCAGTTTTCAACCTGAGGATGTATCGCACACCCACATATCTCCTTTTTACCTCAAAATCTAAGTTCTGATCAGTCAATGGAAGACCAGGGGATCCCATACACTTTAAGTCTTATTACGATTAGTCACAAGACACATTATGTTTTCCAAAAACCTGCTTCACAAGATATGCATAACGAGAGAAAGAAGTTACTGTGGAAGGGCATAGGTTCATGATAACGCCCAACACTGTCGGAATTTTTTTTTATTTCTTATGGCATCCTGCTGTGAAATTTATGTGAAAAAATGGTGCACCAGGGCATTAGTGAAAATGGCATGCCACATCCAAAGACCTTGTCCAAAACAGTCTCACACCAGCCCATGTGCAGAAGAGACAGCTGCAACATTATTGAAAATTGCATGTTTCCTTACCAGCAAAATTTCTATACTATAGGCTTGAAAGGAAGTGAGATTTTTTTTTTCAAAGAAAACTAGATATCTTTCCCATAACTCCATCCTTCAACTTTTGAGCAGCTGGATGTTAGTGAGACATTGGTTTCGATAAACTTGTGCCATTATACAATTACTAAACATCCCACCTGCTCAGGAGCTCTTCCCACAAATGTTGATGGTTCCAGCAGAGTGTCAAGATAAGGTAGGATGGGCACAAAATATGGAGACTTGCGTATTCTTTCTACAAGATCATTATCCAGCCCATGCTGTTTCACCTGTGCTCCGGCTTCCTGGGAAAGCACTCGAATTTGTTCATGGCACACCTATGGCAAATATAATGACAAATTCAATTTCTGTAATATATTTAGATGCAGACATACAAAATATGCAGAACTGCTGTAGCCCATTCAATTTGGTAAGCACAGAACACTTCCTTACATATACAACTTCAAAAATAAATTTCTGGTAGTTCAATATCGCCTGATGGTGGGATATAAAAACAGAAGCATGTCCATGGCAAACATGACTATTATTTTTGGCAGTGCCCAGTGTATCGAGTTTTTTTTAGGCATTTACATATTTATTTTCTTTTGGTCAACATTTTAAGCTCTTTTTTGTAATCCTATCTGAGCTCACAACAAGACACGGCCTTTAAATCCTCTCATGAAACGTTTCTTTTCTAAAAATAAATATTGTTTTAGTTACTTCTAATAAATTTTACTGTCAAGAAATACAAAAATTGACCCCCTGTACAAGTATTGGAGCAAAGACAATACACGTAATTTCTCAGATACAGTTCGCCTAGACTACGTTAGCTTGGAAACAAAAGTGATTGATGCTCAATACACCACAATCAGTTTCTGAATACTGAACAAAAATTAAATTCATCTGATTCGTAATGCCAGTTTCCTGAAAACTGACATTCTGCATTTGCAAACTTAGTATGCAACAATTATTTTCCTGAAGATGTCACATGTGTAGTTTTATTTAGGGACACAGCCTCCATAAAACACTTAAATTTAATCAAAATCATTAGAGGTATTTTCGAGAAAACAGCCACTGTGTTTTAGGGCCCATTTAAAGGGACCCTGCTTTTGAAGCTAGAAAGTTCATATTCACTCAACACTCTTGAATACTGAATATGAACAAAATCCATCCAACCATTCAGGCATCAGTGAGGCGCACATGTGCACGTGCAAACAAACACACACACACAGCATACAAAAAAACATAGCTCTTTTCATAATTGGGGTGGGGGGAGGGGCTGAAAATGCATAAATCCATCAAAATCTTAATATCAGTGTCTTTCAAAATCACAATATTTTGTCATATACGCTATGTATATAAGAAAGTAAAAATGATTGCAAATAAATACAGCGTGCTTAAGCAATAGGTTCGTCAAGTTAAATTACATACCTGCCGGTCTCCGCCAGCTTTTACCATAGCCATAATAACATTCTCAGCAGACATGAAGGGAAGTTCTTGCCTGATGTGACGTTCAATAACTTTGGGGTACACGACAATGCCCTCACAAATGTTCTGCAGTGTCACAAGTATACTGTCAGCTGACAGGAAAGCCTCAGCCAGTGTGATCCTCCTGGATAACAAGTCAGCTGCGTTTATTTTTCTTTCTGCTGTAGATCAACATAAAGTGTCTAATGGTCTAAATTCCCACATATGCCCTCATGCATAATTCTTCATTTGTAATGTAAAATGTGGGTGAATATGGTATCTCTTCAGTTTTAATACCAATACATAAAGTTATTCAATGCTTAATGAAGCATTACATCATGAAGAAATATGGGACACTGAAGGCCAGACATGGTTCACCTCGGCACTGGGTGGAAACAAGTACTCAGCTTCATGACTCTGCTGTCCCCCCCCCCAAAGAGGATCTGCTGGTGCCAATTGGATATGAGGTTGGAAGGCCGCAAAATCAGTATGTGTAAATAAAAGCTTTACTTTTCGTATTGTACATATACATGTTTAGGTGCACTAGTAACAAGTTCTTAGATTTGTAAACTACACACTCTCCAGAAACCCTCTTCTGTTCTACTGGTCTGTAAGTCAGAAAACAATGAGAATTACTCATTTATAAAACAATATTCCCGTGTCCTTAACTTTTGACTAAAATTAGAGATTCAACTGCCATATTTACTTACTTTTCATGAAGTAGTCTGGTAAAAATAAGCAATTGTGACCTCCCCGTGTTTCCCTACAGTGCAAATCTGTGTCACTTTCTAAGATTTTCATATGTCTTGAACACTGACTGATAATCTTTGTTACATACCCAGAATTTCAAAAATTAAAAACTGTCACAAAGAGGCAAACCATATTTAATGGTGGGGAAGATATGAGAACAACAATACAAAAAGAGTAGCATACATATGGAACCTGAAAGGTTTTATGTCACATCCTTGTAACAGCTCACCTATTTGCTGAATCATCAAGTGTACGCTCCATCCACTGGGTGGCTGCAGTTTGTAAAGTGTTTCCCTGAAGAGTCATCAGATGACGGGCAATGGAACAAACCCTCTCACTGCGCATAGGATTACGCTTGTATGGCATTGCACTAGATCCAATTTGTGTAGTTTCAAAAGGTTCCTCTAACTCCTTCATGTTAGCTAACAATCTGATGTCTGAACAAATCTACAGGACATATTCAAGGAAAACCAATCACATGTAAAGACAGTATTTAAAACAATGTAACTTTAATATCTTTTCACATTTCCAAATTAATTTATTATTAGCCTTTCAGATTATATTGATTTGTCTATGTCAGACTCATATCTACATAATTTTTAAGCTCTGACTGCCAGCTTGGTAGCAGTAACTCATAACACAGACTTACAGACAAGAATAACACAAACTACACTCCTTGAATGTTGTTACTTTCACCAAGAATTCAGAAAGTTATGTGAATGATATTCATAATCCTTATATTCCAACTGTCTTCTGGTGCTAACATTTCTTTAACAAATAAACAAAACACTATTATCTGAGTACAAACTAACCACAAAACAGCTTTATTTCAGATCATATTCCAATCATTTTCTGTTGGATATCTTAGTTGTTACTAATTTTAATATTAATAAATATGGTGTAACTATTTAATCTTCTAATTTTCATTTTGCCATAAAAATATTTCTTTCCTTGTTCATAAACCAATTACTTTTACATGTGACCTATATTTCTCCTTTCACTTTAACCATGGTCTTTTCTCAAATACAGATCTACAAATGCATTAGATACTACATACATATCAAATATAAATTCAGGTCAACATCCTTACAATATACCAACAACTAGAATGCATCACTTTACATTTTTGCCTCAGTCACAAACCATCACTTATTCTGCAAGACTACTAGCCTTCTGGAATGTGATACTGCATACACTGTTTCATGTGCATGCATAAGTATGAGGTTTAGAGATATGAAGCATAATCTTTCAAAAACAAGAAGCATACTGAAGCATTATATTCCAGGATATAATGCTGTGCTGCCCGACAGAAGTCAACTGATGTTTCAGAGGACTATTGCCTGCATCTACATCGTCAAAAAGAACGCCAAGCAAGAAACCAGCTTCCTCTGCTTGCTTGGCTTACTCTCTCACTCTGAAGATGGAGGTGAAACGTTACTCTGAATCATCAGCTGACTTTCACTGGACTAAACAGCATTATATCCCATATGACAGAATTCTTCAGAGTCACCACTGTGATAACCTCGAACATCAGGTATGCTGTTAATCAAACAAGTAATTACCTTGTGGACAGTGGCCCCTAGGCTGCTGAGAACAGCAATGCTCTCGACATCCACTTTACGGGAATATGTCTGGCCACAGATGATGAAGGAGCGCTGGAAACCGGCCATCTTAGTCACAAGCTGATCAAGTTCCTTAACCTTAGAACCGTCTCCATTAAATAGCTGAAGGAATGATGCCTGAGTGCCAGTTGTACCCTTCACTCCACGAAACCTCAAGTCATCTCTGGCTCGTCGTAGTGCCCTTTCATCCATCAGTAATTCTTGAAGCCATAAACATGCTCGTTTACCAACTGTTGTCAGCTGAGCAGGTCTGTAAAGAAATAATGTAGTTCACAGAGATGTGAGAATATGCACACAGAATTTTAGAAAGTAGAAGGGAAAACCTCTTGCAGTCAGTTGGATGATCAAAAAAGAGATGGAAGATAATGCAAAGATGGATTTTAGGAAAACAGATCGTGAGGATGGATCTGCAAACATTGAACTTTCAGATTAAAATATCAGAAATCTGGCTAATTAACAGGCATAATAATTTTGAAGAATGTGTACTTACTGAAGGTGAGTGAAACCAAGGGTTGGTAAGCTCTTGTATTGGTCTGCAAACCCAGCTAACCTGTGAATACAGCCAGCCAGCTTGGGAAGCAGAAGATCATACCCATCACGCAGAATTATGAGATCCTATAAAATCATCATAACTTCTGTAATAAACATCATATGACGCAAAAGGCCAGAGCTGGTGGTTTCAGTCTATATGTCACACATATGCCTTATGCAAGTAAAAAAGATAAAACAATTAATTACAATGGACTGTATTTCGTAAAATTTCCTGCCTGAAAAATCAAACATGCATCTACACGCACATCCCTGTCATCAGATATCTAACTCTTATCTTTTGGGAAAACAGGTCACATAGTCAGAGTGAAAAGCAAAGGATAATCACCAGCACCCCCACCCCTCAATTTTTCATTACTTCAAACTGAACATTATAGTCAAGTGGATAGCACCCCTGCTTCACGTTAGGGAGGGCCAGGCTTCAAATCTCAGCCCACAGTTCAGGTATCCTAACTGAGGCTTCAAATGGTGTCAATTAGTCCCCCCCCCAAGCAAATGCTGCAATAGGCTGCTTCCTTCCATATTAATTTTTCTCTAATCAGTCCACCATTCTATGGAATATGGTCTGAGTTACTAACATCATTAAATAAACAATTAACAAATAAAATCTTAATTTCAAACAATATATTCTTTTGTGTGTTCATAAATCTCACAGCTCAAACGTAAATGCACGGTTCATCCAGATGCACCTGGTTAATTTTGGTTCCAATGGATATCACTGCAGCAACATTACACATTCTACAGTGATACATCTGTGACAGAACACTTCAAAACACTACACATTCTACAGTGATACATCTGTGACAGAACACTTCAAAACACTACACTTTCTACAGTGATACATCTGTGACAGAACACTTCAATACACTACACTTTCTACAGTGATACAGCTGTGACAGAGCACTTCAAAACACTACACATTCTACAGTGGTATATCTGTGACAGAACACTTCAAAACACTACACATCCTACAACGATACATCTGTGACAGAGTACTTCAAAACACTACATATTCTACAGTGATATGTCTGTGAAAGAACACTTCAAAACACTACACATTCTACAGTGGTATATCTGTGACAGAACACTTCAAAACACTACACATCCTACAACGATACATCTGTGACAGAGTACTTCAAAACACTACATATTCTACAGTGATATGTCTGTGAAAGAACACTTCAAAACACTACACATTCTACTGTGATATACTTGTATCTGTGACAGAACACTTCGAAACACTATATATTCTACAGTGATATGTCTGTGAAAGAACACTTCAAAACACTACACATTCTACTGTGATATACTTGTATCTGTGACAGAACACTTCGAAACACTATACATTCTACAGTGATATGTCTGTGAAAGAACACTTCAAAACACTACACATTCTACAGTGGTATATCTGTGACAGAACACTTCAAAACACTACACATCCTACAGTGATACATCTGTGACAGAGTACTTCAAAACACTACACATTCTACAGTGATATATCTGTGACAGAACACTTCAAAACCCCCTGCCAAATAATTACAGAGACCAGAAAATCCAGAACTCTCAGAATAATGATGAGTTTGATAAGGGACAGGAGCTTGATATTCTGTATCAACATGTAAGAAAACAAATAGTCCAGTACTCACAGTGTTATCTCCCACATAGCAGGAGGTTGCACCCAGATGAATGATGGCAGCAGCTTTGGGGCACAGTTCTGCAAAGACATGGACATGGGCCATGACATCATGACGAGTCAATTTCTCCTCAGCTGCTGCCTTTGTAAAATCAATATCATAGATGTGAGCCTCCATTTCTGAAATCTGGTCATCAGTAATATCCAACCCCAATTCCTGAAATACAATAATGTAACAGATTTGGTCAATGTATTACCAGGCAACAGCTCTGTAAACATGGTCCAACACATGTGTTTTCTATGTCATTCACACTGAGCAGCAGTGGAACAAAGAGGTTATGCCACCCATATCTATGCAATGGCTCGGTAAACACATTTCCGTGTATGAAAGCGGTGATGTCATCAACTATGGAGACGGTGTTCTCCGTGGGGTCTGTGCAGAGTGCTTATAAGAGAAGTGAATGCAGAAGCAAGTTCAGTTGAGGGCAGTTACAAGACAGTCATAAGCTGGAGGAGTGGGCCCAGAAGAAGTTCTAGTTCCAATGTTCCAGAGTGATTGAAGACGAAATAGCAAGAAGACTTCATAGTGGTTTGAAGTGCTAGTTTCTGTGTTCAGATCCGTTGGTAGGAGACATCTAGTGAAGATGGAGAATTCTAATGCGAGTGCAACTGCGAACTGTAAATTGTGTAAATCAGCAAAGCGCTGTATTAATTGCAATTAAGAGAGTGTAACCGAAGTGCCAACAAATCCAATCATCTGATCTAGAACCCGCTATTTTCGTCACGCGTACCCCCTTACACATGACAATAAGTAAGGTGTGAGGGAAAATATATGGAAATAGACGAAACAAGTCCCTCAGATGGAAAGAAAGAAGTGCAACAATCCTTCAGCAATGGCAGGGGCTACAGTTTTACAGGAAACTGGGAGTAAGTGGAACCACAGTGGCTGGTAGCATTCATCAAACCTACCTGCTGTTTCACTAAACACACAAGAAAAATTGTAACATGTTCAAAACTAATATACTGCGGCATATTTTCACAAAGCAAGAACTGCAGAGACAAAGAAACGGCCGTTGCTAGGTAACGACCCGTATATACGCAGCAGAGGAACGCGTCACGTACGCTGTGACGTCACGCAACAATAGAAGAGATGTTGCAGTAAGCTTCTGCTCTGCTCTGCTAGAATTAGCTTTGACTGAAATTAGAACTGAATTCTGCAGTTGGCATATAAAAATAGAACGTGTCACAAAAAGATACAATGCAACAGTAATCCAGGAAATTTCGTTTCAAATTCTATCACAGCCCTAGCCCCAACAAATGTGTATATTTTGGTATGTGAGCCACTAGCTTATTTCAGTGCGTATATAATTAAAAGCTGTCGATAGACAGAAAAAAGCAAACTCCGTGGCCTGTATTCCGCAAGCGAACTATATCGACCGAGCAACCGCCGCTTCTCGGCGAAGTTAGTGCCAACTTTTGCGGATAAGAGGGTGTCGCGTGGTCAGCGCAGCGGTTCCCCACGGCCGCTAATTTCGGTTTTCTAGACCGGAGCCTCTACTTTTCCTTTCAAGTAGCTCCTCAATTATCATCATGAGGCTGAGTGGAACCCGTTCCTGACCCACTACTTCCCAGAAAATCTGGCAGCGCCGGGAATCGAATCCGGGACCTCTGGATCTGTAGCCAGGAACTCTGACCACTAGACCACAGAGGCGCAAAATACCATGGTTGGCATAACTGGATACAAATAGAAAACTGCAGGTTCTCGAAATTCAGAGTTTGAATTAAATCTGCTAGCAAACTGTACATGCAGTGCATACAGAGTTTATCAAAATACGCGAGTTCTTCACAAAAGGTACACTTTGTATTAAGATTGTCACTTGTTGGGTTATGACACCACGTACTTTAGTAACTGGTTACCGACGTTTTGGATAAACCTTCTGCCACCACACTATACCCTGAACATGATGGTAGCAAGTTCCTCCGAAATGTTGGTATTACACGGTGCCATACCCCAGAAATCCACAATCTTAAATTTTTACAGCCGTGAAAATCTTGAATGTACTGTCTATCCAGGATCGGCCCAGTAGCACAATAGAAGACAGCTTTTTGTTAAATTTAAATTAATTTCTTATCTTTTGTCCATGTCAAACCATTAATTGATAGTAATCTTAAAGTCTTATGCAACAGTGTGGATAATACTGTTTTAAGAATTATGAAGGTTTTCACCACACTATTTGAAAATTTCATATTATTACAACAAAGTTTTTAGAATGTTGATTTGTTTTTAACTGAGGCAAACAAAAAATTTCCCCCCTCTCACGTGTCATTTACGCTTGCGCCAGCCATGTAGGATGTATCACCATTTTTATTCTAAGTAGGAGAATGCTAATTCAGAACAACGTAACACTAGTGACCTCTTTCAAACACTGGCCGTATATTTACGGTTTACACAGAAATGGATTTAAGGGCGACCGACCGAAGCAGTCATACTGGGGCCCCCAGAAACTAAAAATAGAAACAACAGATTTTATTAAGTCATCTGCTTTACTAAAATCAGTACAATTAGTTTGTATTTTTCTCTATTACAAATCATAACATAAATTTGTGACCGCCTCTGTGGTCTAGTGGTCAGAGTTCCTGGCTACAGATCCAGAGGTCCGGGTTCGATTCTCGGCGCTACCAGATTTTCTGAGAAGTAGTGGGTCTGGAACGGGGTTCACTCAGCCTCGTGAGGATAACTGAGGAGCTATTTCAAGGAAATAGCGGCTCCGGTCTAGAAAACCGAGATTAACGGCCGTGGGGATCCGTTGCGCTGACCACACGACACCCTCTACTCGCAAAGGTTGGCACTAACTTCGTCAACAAGCGGCGGTCGCTCGGTCGGTATAGTTCGCTTACGGACTACAGGCCACGGAGTTTTTTTAACATAAATTTGTTGTTACTGACATGGGCTTGCACACTTTGACTGCACCTGGGCCTCCAACAGCTGCAAATCCGACTCTGGATTTATTCAGCAATGCTTCCAATAGCTCAGAGAGTACAGTGCCGAACGAAAGGTTGACTGGTGAACAATAAATTGGAAAGGTTGCAGACAGAAGCGGTCGTGGCCTAATTCATGGAACCCAGCTCCTGCCTGGAGAGAATGAGGAAGCCACGAAAGATCACAAGCAAGATGGCCGGTCTCGGGGTGGAGATTTGTACCCGGGACCTCCAAAATACGAAGCAGGAGCGATATCTACTCGACCCCGACTCCCGATAAGAACATGACGTTTGATTTGTTAATTACATGGCGATTATCGAAGAACAGTTGTTTGTTCATGGCGTTTCATAACTTAGATTTCATGGCTGTATTTACAAAGTCTGTAATCATTAAAACCAGTGGAATGAGGCCCGCGCTGATTTGCAAACACCACTGTTACACCAGAAGCCGGGACAGTGCACTCCGGTATAGTGACTGGCTACGGGCTGGGCGGCAGATGGGTCGGAGTTCGAGTCCCGGTAGGGGCGAGACTTTTCTCTTCTCCACGTCCTCCAGACCGGCTCTGCAGCCCACCCAGTCTCCTACACAATGTGTACCGGGGGTAAACCGGCCGGTGCGTAAAGCTGACCACTCACCTCCAACTAGTGCCGAGGTCAAGAATACGTGGATCTATGCATCCACTCCCTCATACGCCTTCAAGGCGTAGTGCTCAGTTAAGCAGAGGAATAACTTCACCTTTAATTACTTTTTACCTTTCTACCAATACTGTACAACTCGGGCTAGAAACAAAGAGTAATATTGGACGTGGCTCAGACCTGTAATGTAAATGTACAGGCAGCCACAAATCTTGAAAGAATGTAATCCATTGCTCTTGCTGAAAGCTTGTCACAGACCACCTGCCTTATCTCCCTGCCCACGTTGTGAAATGTAATCCCTGCGCAGGTCAGAGATAAGATATATGACAAAATCAGAAGGAATTAAGTCACAAATAAACAGCAATACGCATGCTTCATAGGAACTTCATACAGTATTACTTTCTGAACTAGAACTAAAACGAAGTTACAAATATGGCTACTCTGCTACTTAGACCACTTTTGCGAGAAAACTACCGTCGCACGTTACAAGATGGGTGATACACCCTAAAGAAATACGTCATAAGATAAACGGAAAGTCAGCCTGTTAGATCGGTTACAGACGCCGCTGAATTGAGGTACCTTCTATTATTGGACTGTTGGTGTAATTGTTTCAGTTTGGAACATCGTAAGAAAACTCCGATACTGTTGTATTTGTTTCGTTGTGCAGGTGACAGCTGCGCGGACCAACAATGGCGGAGTTTCCAACTATTGCTACAATCTTCATAAAAATTCTGAAGCTTGTAAGTAGTAAAGAAAGAAAAACGACACTGTAAATTTACGTACAATATATTTAATTTCTACTACAGTTAATTTATTTCTTAATGTTCAATTTCTACTGCTCTCGAGTGCGCTTTAAGCCAGGGGTAAGCACTCCTATTGCGTGCAAGCGATGTTGTTCCAAATTTGTTTTGTGTGTAGCGTGTATAGTTACACAATACAATACAATACACAATACCCGGGATCGATCCCGTGGATTTGTGGTGGACAAAATGGCGCTGGGGCGGGTTTTCCCCGAGTACTTCGGTTTCCCCTGCCAATCTTCATTCCACCAAATTCTCCATCATCATAATCACCCGGTGCAGTCTACAATAAGCCAATCAGTGGACCCAGTTGGACTCCACCCCCCACTAAGCGAATTAAAAAAAAAAGCTAGACCGTGTTCCACTGTCCAGCGTCGAGATATCAGAGTGCAGTGCAGTGCAGTCTGTATGCACTGTATAATGATAATGACATGCATTTCGGTACATTTCCTAGCAAAATGTGAACCAGTACAAATAACTTCTTCCCAGTCGCTTACAGCTTTTTGTAGCGTTGAAACCATCAAGTCCTACAGTAAACATAACTGGTAAATATCCTAACTATCGAATCATTACCTGCAAGTGCCTCCATTCTAAAGAACTGCTATTTCTCGTAAGGAAAACGTTTCTAAGCCCATGTTCATTGTGATGTTTTACTTGCATTTTGCGTCAGAGTTTGTCACTAAACTTACGAAAGACCTGGAATATTCCTGTGCAGTAGGATACGTATGTAAATAAGTACTACATTCAATTAGCGTTACTGTAACTTATAAAGTTTATTTTGTTATAACTTAGTGTTGCCTCTATAATTTAATGTACGATCTAGTTAAAGATAAACATCAGTGTAACAGCAATATAATTACTGAAACAGTTCAGTGCAGTGCTACAAAGACTTCTTTTCGTTGTCGATTTATGAAATTTGTCATTATCGATGAGGAATTTCATTTTCTTGTCCATGTAAACTACACCTTTAACCGCGCTAAAATCTTCTCAGGTGATAAGCAGTCTCAATATTGAGTTAAAAATCAATGTTTCAAAGCTCTCCTCCGTTTCCATCATCAGTATCGATGTGGTGGATGACAATATGTCGCTGATGTTTACGAGTATAGCAGTTTGTCAAACCGATGACTTTTCCTATTGGTGTATTATGTAGCAGGAGTACACTCGTGTGGTCATCCATCAGACAAAGCTTCAAATCTTACAAACATTTAACTCTTTTACATTTATATTTACATGAAGGAGAGTAAATTAAGAAGCAGGAATGTCAAGAAACAGAGGAAGAGTGAATATGGTGGCACGCGAGCTACAGTCTGTACCCACCGCCAACAATCTGACATGAGAAGGCATCAGTTGCCTTCATTGCAAAAGCAAACTGTTTTAAGTACGTCTAATACGCCCTAATATGTTTGCTGAAACTGAAAAAAGCGTAGACGTAGCCCTGTTCCCTCCAAAATAGACAACTGCGTATACAAAAACGCAACATAGCGAAGGTGTATCGTCCACAATTAAAATACATTATGACGAAAGTAATGTGATAAAAGTATTCATTTTGCGTTTCGAATAAGTGAGTAGACCCACAAGGGAAATTTTATGTGAAAGTCTGTTCACGTAGTTTCCATTTTCCCGGAAAAGAAGACTTGCAGTTCGTTGCACACTACACTCCAACACGAAACGGTTTTGTTCAAGGACTATGGTGACGTCGGTAATGAAAATAAACCCACTGTCATGCCAGTCAGTACTTTCTTTAACCCTTTTGTGGCCAAAGCAGATTGGAGCACAATTTCTGTTGAGAATGGAGGCATATGCTTCCCATAAACATGCGGTAAGAACGCAGAAATATGTTCATGCTGATTGCAACAGCAAAACTAGCAGTGAAAGTGTACGCCAGCTATGGGGAAATTTAAGGATGCTAAGGTGGGAGTGGCTACTGGAAGAAATACTTGTATGTCTGGTTAGTCGGAAGTTAACCAAGATTATCCAACGCATGTATGAGCGGCGAATATACTGACTTGAATACAACGAACCCAGTAATAGAGCTGTATTCCACTTACCAAAATTTGGATTCCAAGGGCACGGCGTTAAAAAATATTACGATGAAATTTCGAATTATATTTAAGAGTAACAAAGGAGCAAAAGCGTAACTGTCAGTGCATCTCCAACGTCTTAGTTACACTAAAACCCAATCACGTAGCACGGTGAAAAGTAATAAAAACAATAAATTCCAGTAAAATATGAATTTTCACATTACATTTCAAAGGCATAAAGGCATGAAATATCAGCACATCAATAACTATTTCATTACGCAAAAATCTAAAAGACGTAGCGCCAAAATGTTAGTAATGAAATGATAAATTCCAGGGAAATATCGAAATTTATCGAACAGGGGTTACTGAAACTGTGAACGTTGTGTCCTAATCACGTGATACCTTATCTTTATTAGTGAGCGAAGATAAAACCCAACAAAAAAGCAGATAAAATTACAATCTTACGAAAGAAAACCGCGATGAACACTCAGCACTACACTCGTTGACAATTTTCGGATGTATGGATGATTACAAACGGAGATGGATTTAAAGTTCAAGGCTTTCAAAAAACTGAGCCCCTCCCACGGTTTCTCTGCAAGGAATGAGTTAAAAGCTGAAACGAATTTCTCGGAAAGACGCTTCATTTTGCCTAAGAAATTCCGATTCACGTAGAATTATCGTTCAATGCTTGTTATGGCCGAATTTTAAACATTTCTGCTGAATATCTTATCTCGATGCAGGCTTACCTCAGTTCAACAATTACGAACAAAGACTTCTGAGAAGACCGCCTGGCCTTTAGCTTTCAGTTTCCTCCATCTGCATACAGAGCCTTGGCTAATTATATTCAAATTACTCGTCTGTTTTCATACAGATTCAAACTGCATGGTAGATGCCACACATAACCTCAATGGGATGTTACTGTCGCCGTGTTTACACCTACCTCTGTTGACTTCAGATTGCTCCATCGAAATTTACTCTTCTTAATGTAAATATAAATCCTACAAACTTTTAACCCTTTACATTTCACAGTACAGCTTCACACTAAACATAGATCCCGAAAGGCATATTATAATCCTACAAACAAACAAACAAACAATCAAACAAACAAACAATCAAACAAACAAACAAAACTCCGTGGTTTTAGTCCGCAAGCGAACTATACCGACCGAGTGACCACCGCTTGTCGGCGAAGTTAGCGCAACGAATCCCCACGGTCGTTAATTTCGTTTTTCCAGACCAAACAAACTAAACAAATTCCGTGGTTTTAGTTCGCAAGCGAACTATACCAACCGAGCGACCGCAGCTTGTCGGCGAAGTTAGTGCCAACTTTAGCGGATAGAGGGTGTCGCGTGGTCAGCGCAACGAATCCCCACGGCCGTTAATTTCCTCAATTATCATCACGAGGCTGAGTGGACCCCGTTCCAGACTTATTACTTCTCAGAAAATCTGGTAGCGCCGGGAATCGAACCCGGAACTCTGGATCTGTAGCCAGGAACTCTGACCACTAGACCACAGAGGCAGTCCCTGAAAACACCGGTTCTCATCCGGTTTTCCAGACCGGATATTATAATTCTACGTTTTACTAAAAGGCAGAGTTAGAAAAGGCTGCATATTCTTCAAAGGTCTGTCATCACACATAACCTCAAATGCGTGCATTAAAGGTACAGATTGTGGGGGTACTGAAAGGCATGTCATGCATTCATACTTCCATGAAATTAAGTCAAATGGCTTCGGAGTGATGCAGCGTGACACAAAACGCACACAAACACGTCCACACTCTAAACTGTATAGCTCCTTATAAAATCAGGCAAGTAGACTAACCATACTTTCGTGGGACTGGAAACTTCACAGAGGTTTGATAAATAAACATCATTGATCAAATTAAGGAGAACAGATGGGCAGAGCATATGTCCCATATCACGTAAGGGAGTGATGACAAATCCATCTATTTTGGCCGGAACCTGAAGCAAAGACACCAGCTGGGAGACGTAGGCCTACAATACACAAAGAGTATGAAGATGTGGATTAGATTAATCTAACTCGGGATGTTATTTTCTTGTGAACATGTCATCTACTTCAGGTTCCGTAAAATGAGGCGAATTTCTTTACTATCTGGGTGCCTAAGGCCGCGTCATAGCTCAAGCGGCTTCCCACCGCGGCGGCCCGGGTTCGATCCCGGGTCTGGTCAAATGGAATTTGTGGTGGACAAAGTGGCGCTGGGACGGGTTTTCTCCGAGTACTTCAGTTTCCTCTGCCAATCTTCATTCCAGCAAATTCTCCATCATCACAATCACCCGGGGTAGGTACAATAAGCCAATCAGTGGCCGCCGTGCCGAGTGGACCCAGTTGGACTCCACCCCCCACTAAGATAATCTGGATGACTATCCGCTTTTCAAGGGCTGTGCTCCAAATAAACACACGTATTTAACATTTTGAACCGCGTCTGTGTGTCGGTTTTGTGCTTAGGTTTTAGCATGGGGCATGTTGGAAAGTACGATATCTCCATATCATCTCAACACCGATGCAGAATAGCTATAAGGTGCGTCAGATAAACCGTGTGAAGTCGTGACAAATACGAGATAACGCGTACAGAGATATGATAACAGCGGCGCTAGTGCATAGAACGCAGTAATCATTCAACCCCAGATGGTGAAATGAACTCACAAATAATTCGTGGAACCAGCCGATGACTAACATCCCATTTCTAATTAATTATAACATAATTTGGCAGGGAAAACGCTGAAGCACACAGAAGCCGGGCGTTGTCATATGTAACCCCCCCCTTCTTAAATGCCACACGTCGTTTCGGTTAATTCTTTCCAACTTGTCTTCACAGATTCGACAAAGATATGTCTGTACAAACCCCGTACTCTTTCCAGTGTGTCCGTGTTCTCCTACTTACGTTCCTCGCTTAAGGTTAAATCTCTATGCAACCGTCTTGACTCCGTTTCATATGCATGGTCTTTCCACGTCAACCTTATTCCTTATCCTTATTACTAAAGTACACGTCAATAATGCAACAATATATAAACATCAAGAATATGTCACTCACTAAAAATGTATATTAATATTTTATGATAATAAAATCATTAAAATGCCAATAGGACACTAAAAACATATTTTATACATTAAAAGTGATCATTAAAATTTCTGAAATGTCTCTAGTTTTTTTACATGTTTCGGCCTCGTATGGGTCATCATCAGGTGATTGTTCTTTTTTGGGAAACCACTGGACTGGACTGCACTGCACTGCACTGCACTTGTTCACCGTGCTCCCTTCATGTACGTCAATGTTTAGTTCAATCTCATGACTAGTCGTTGTGCTCCTTTGCGGCTGTTATAGTTTTTGTATACAGAGAGACCACGGTAGTGACACGCACACAAGAAAATACGACACAAGACTACAATAGCCACAAAAGAGTACCACAACTAATCATGAGATTGAACTAAACATTGACGTACATGAAGGGAGCACGGTGAACAAGTGCAGTGCAGTGTAGTCCAGTGGTCTCCCAAAAAAGAAAAATCACCTGATGATGGCCCATATGAGGCCGAAACATGTAAAAAACTAGAGACATTTCAGAAATGTTGATAATCACCTTTAATGTATAAAATATACTTTTAGTGTCCTATTGACATTTTAATGATTTTAACATCATAAAGTATTAAAATACATTTTTAGTGTGAAACATATTCCTAATGTCTTTTATATTGTTGCATTACTGACGTGTACTCTAATAATAAGGAAAATGCCTCAATGCAACGGGATTCTGAAATATAATGTCCCTTATTCCTTGTTTCTTTCAATTTAGAACCATAGTTATTACCAGGGCCCGGATTTTGATGATATGTCATATTTTTTTCCTTGTATCCTATGCGATGCTCTTAAATATATAAATCTCGGATATGAGCTGCTGGTTACAGAAATGTAAATTTTATAGGTAATTTTTTTTCATTTGTCATTTTTAGGTTTAAGGTCATTTTTTCATTTTGGGGGTAATTTTTTGGTAAATTTTTTTACTTTTAAGGGTATTTCTTGTCATTTTTGATAATTTTAGGGAATTTTTCTTCATATGTTTTCTGAAATGTGAATAACATGGAAGCGAAGTGTTCTTTCTTTTCTCCTTTAGGTAATTTTTTTAATATTTTCAGGTCATCAAAATCCGGGCCCTGCATATTACATTTTTGGGTCATATTTTAGGTCATCTTTCTGGATTTTTTCGGTCATTTTTTTAAATATTTTCAGGTCATCAAAATCCGGGCCCTGGTTATTACATTTAGACTTAGGGAACAACATTATGATCACTACAAACTGCGCAGAACTGCCATCAATTGCTGGGACTCAGCGTCTTCTCATCTTGGTGACATTATATTTGCAGATTCTTAACATCATAGTCCTGATTCTCTACCGAGTGGGTAATGATGGCAGGTTCCTTGGAGTTGGCGGCACATGGAACCTCAACGAAGAGAAAAATCCAGACTCCGAAATTGTTGCTTCTGGCGTCTTTGTTGGTTTCTTCATATACACACTTGTAATCCTTATCTCCTTCTGTTTTGGAACGACAGAGCATAAGAAGTCACTTGTGGTAAGCTTCTAAATGTCTGGCCTACTTCCTTGGGATATAAATGTCAACTCAGTGGTTTTAGTCCGCAAGCGAACTATACCGACCGAGCGACCGCCGCTTGTCGGCGAAGTTAGTGCCAACTTTAGCGGACAGAGGGTGTCGCATGGTCAGCGCAACGAATCCCCACGACCGTTAATCCCGGTTTTCTAGACCGGAGCCGCTATTTCCTTGAAATATAGTTCCTCAATTATCCTCACGAGGCTGAATGGACCCAGACCCACTACATCCAGAATATCTGGCAGTGTCGGGAATCGAACCCGGGACCTCTGGATCTGTAGCCAGAAACTCTGACGGCTAGACCACAGAGGCGGTCATATAAATGCCAAACAATTATAAAAATTCAATATTATTCAAAACTAAAATAATCTAGATTAATTTTTCCATTTTGACACCAGAATATTTCTACATTCCCCCCCCCCTTTGAATTATTTAAGCCAACTTCTTAGGAAACGTCGGATTTTAAATAATTTTAAATATAACTTGGCCTCCTTAAGGCAATTGGACTATTATACTTTGTTCTTATCCATATATGGTCTTATGATTTTAAGGGAACATGCTCATATAAGGGAAACGTACAAAGGTCAGCAACGCAGGGAAGAGTGTCTGTACGCCTACAGCAAATGCATTTCAGTTTCAATTTCATTACGCCTCCTTATGTGATAGTTCGACATAAACTGAACTAAATTCTGAGGGAACAAAATTTGCGTCCCATTCAAAACCACCCCTCGCCTAAATTTTCCAAAAACATAACCATCAGTTATTTCACTGCATTAAATGTGCAAGTTTTTAGTTTCGTTATTACGGGATATGAACAGAGAAGCTAAGCAACGAACTGAATCACTTCACTTAAGTTTCCATCCACTGGCGTATGCGTGCATTTTTGTATCCCTCTGCCGTCGAAACAAGGAACTATTTTTTTTCTTTCAGATATACCACTTATGTGTGTATTAGGATGTGGTGATATTATTAAAAGCAGATTTCTTGTTTAAATCTACGCGAAACAGTGCTGATGCATTTTTCTTCCCCGCCCCCCTGCCAACCATGGGAACTGCTGGAAAAGCAAAGATTGTTATATGGCATTAAAATGAACTGCACAATATTTTGTATGTCTAATGGTACTGGTATGAGGAGTCTGGTATAACCACTGGCTAAGGGCTGAACGATTGAAGGGTCCAAGTTCGAGTCCCGGTAGGGTAAAGAATTTCCTCTTCTCCACGTCGTCAAGGCTGGCTGTGGGGTCCACCCAACCTCCTATCCAATGGGTACTGGGGGCTCTTTCTCCGGGGGTAAAGCGGCACTGGCGTGAAGCTGACCACTTACCTCCAACTAGTGCCGTGGGTCTATACATCCACTCCCCCCATACGTCTTCATGGCGTAGTGCTTAATTAGTTAAGCACAGGGACAACTTTACATTTTAATGTCCTGGTACTATCAATGACTTCGATGGGGCANTGGTATGAGGAGTCTGGTATAACCACTGGCTAAGGGCTGAACGATTGAAGGGTCCAAGTTCGAGTCCCGGTAGGGTAAAGAATTTCCTCTTCTCCACGTCGTCAAGGCTGGCTGTGGGGTCCACCCAACCTCCTATCCAATGGGTACTGGGGGCTCTTTCTCCGGGGGTAAAGCGGCACTGGCGTGAAGCTGACCACTTACCTCCAACTAGTGCCGTGGGTCTATACATCCACTCCCCCCATACGTCTTCATGGCGTAGTGCTTAATTAGTTAAGCAGATGGACAACTTTACCTTTTCATGTACTGGTACTATCAATGACTTCGATGGGGCCACTGTTTCAGTCTTCCTTTGTATATCTAACTTCTGGATGGATATCATAGCGAGAGAAATATTTATACCTAGGTCTGTCGGTTAGGTGTATATTCTTAGAACTCTTGTTAAAAATTCTAATAAATGGTCAGTCTGGAAGTTCTGAAAATGACTAACGCTAAAAGACAAAATGCCGGTCACGGTAGCAGCNCTCCCCCCATACGTCTTCATGGCGTAGTGCTTAATTAGTTAAGCAGATGGACAACTTTACCTTTTCATGTACTGGTACTATCAATGACTTCGATGGGGCCACTGTTTCAGTCTTCCTTTGTATATCTAACTTCTGGATGGATATCATAGCGAGAGAAATATTTATACCTAGGTCTGTCGGTTAGGTGTATATTCTTAGAACTCTTGTTAAAAATTCTAATAAATGGTCAGTCTGGAAGTTCTGAAAATGACTAACGCTAAAAGACAAAATGCCGGTCACGGTAGCAGCGCAGTCTAAGGCATGTACTGTCTTCGCTCGCTCGGAAGCCGGGATCGTGGTTTCGAATCCCACACAAGGCATGGATGTTTGGTGCGTGTATGCGTTTATTCTGTGTTTGTGTTGTTATGTGTTTAGGTAGTGGCCTTGTGACGAGCTCATCACCCATCCAAGGAGTCCTACCCGTGAAAAAAGATCATGAAACTGAGGAACCAGTCTTTTGTTCCAAAGTGGGAGCAAGAGGAGAGAAACAAAAAGACAAAATAACAGTTCTTCTGCCGTCCGTGTTAGGTCATACAGCTGTTTTCCATAAGAATTAGTCTGGAGCTATGTATCTTATATAGACAGCTGATAGGACTTCTTGGATGGGTGATCTAGCCCTGCCGGAAGACCGCTACCTACACAGGACAACACAAACACAGAAGGAACTCGGACAGACATCCATGCCATGTGTGGGCAAAATTGTAATTCTTAGTACTTAATTTAGGAGCGAGTGAAGAGGTGCATTCACTGTATACCGTAAGTAAGATATTCACATATCCAAACTCATACAACCAAAGGTAAAGCATCTGACTGAAATTTCAGGAGATCATCATGAACTTTGTGGGCTGCTTCATGTGGATCGCAGTGGGAGGAACAGCTCTCCACTATTGGCACGGATACCTGAGCGAGCACAAGTACACAAGCTTCACCTCCGAGCGGGAAGTCGGCCTGGCTGTGGGCAGTCTCTGTGTGCTGTCCGGTGCGACATACCTCTTGGACACCGTCCTCAGCTTCTTGCACTTCAGTAGAGAAAAATAAATCAAATTTCACGTAACAAAAGTCATTTTCGTCTCTTATCACATTCACAATGACAGGCAGTAAAGACTGTTACAAAACATGACTGATAGGGAATTCGGAAAAAGTTGCAGTATTTTTTTTTGCCAAGATATTCGTATGGTTTTGTGGAAACGGGTGGCACTAAAAGTCACTTTTCGGGAGAACAGGCAACTCTGGACGTTTCTGCGTTAATGCATTTCACTAATTTCGTTATGTCACTGAATGAAAATAATTGCGTTTAGAGACGTAAGTCGGTTTTTATTTTATTCTTTTGGTAGGGAGCATTTTTATATAATTCTGGCCAATTTTTACTTGGCTATATTTTCTGTAATATAATATAGTTCAACACTTTCACTGGGCAATGCATATTTATTTAAATATACAGCTTGAAAGAGGATATTTCGTATAACTTTATGAGTTCTCGATGAGTTTTACTAGTTAACATATTTAATTAATTCCATGGAGCACAGTCAGTCTAGAGAAGCTAGCAGTTGCTTAGCTATCCAAGAAATTCACCATCTTCTATGGAACTCGAAAGTTCCTTATTACGTTTATAACAACCTGGCCATGAACCTTAATGGAGCTTGATGAATCCAGTCCACACTATCGCCCTCTATTTCCATAAGATTCGTCTTAATATTATCTTCCCATCTATGCCTAGGTCTCCTAAGTGGTCTCTTCCTTTCGAATCTTCTGATTAAAATTCGTATATACATTTCATTTCAAAAAGAAATATGCAAGTATTTTACATGAACAAAGCGGCCTCCGTAGTCTAGGGGTAACGTTCCCACCTCATGACTCAAGGTACGCGGGTTCAAACCCGGCGGAGGTCGTGGAATTTTTAAGGGCGGAAAAATTCAGGGAACAAGTCCTCCGGGAGGGACTTTAAGCCGTGGGTCCCGTGTCGAAGATTTACGGCACATGTCTCTAGGAGACCTCTGAGCAAAATTCGGCAAGTTTCCCGCCCAAGTAGTTTCCAATGCCTCTGGTAGATGGGGGAAGTATTGAGGTACCGAGGGCCGACATCGTTGGCTGAACGGGGCTGATAGCACGCACCAGTACCGGTAGGGTATGGCGACTGGTAAAATATCAAAGGAGGCGTACAATAGACTATTAGTCGCGGTGCATTGGGAAACCCACCCCCTCCAATAATAATAATAATAATACATGAACAAAATTGGTATTATACAGTAAATGCAAAATTCGCATTTCAGAAGGGATTCACTTATATTTTACAGACGCCCTACATCTGATGAAATTCAAATACTGCAGAAATAATCAAGCTGTTGAAGCGCCTCTGAACCAATTACTACTCAGATACTGAAAAATGTATTCATTTCAAATATAAAGTCTGTGAGGAAACTTGATTAACAATAGTTACAATGTTCTTCTTTACTTAAACTTGGTATTTTGTACACTTTTTTTTTGTGGAAGAAATAAATCACTTAAATCCCTTCCTCTCAGATCATTCTAAATAATATTTTAAAAATTCCGTTCCTACCTCACACAAAAAATATTGTATCGCCGGTTAATGCTGTTCACGAAAAATAATGGCTGCTTATTTTGAGAGCAAAATTTAGGAATTCTTAGTATGCTAAAGCAGGAGTTACGTGTCGTAATTACTGAGTTTTGAAGCATTTAGACGCACGGTCTAGACACACATTTGTAGACAGATCTGAAAATGCCTGCATTCTGTGACTTTCCTTCAACGGTATCTCTGTCAAAGCTGAGGACAGACTTGGCTTGCTCGCAAAGACGAGTTACAAAACATGCGTCTCTTAGCCTTGCCACATCGAAATCTGTCCATATGTAACAAATGAAGAAACGGAGAACGGATATTTATGAAATTTCATATTTGGGAGTCTTACATAAACTGTTCTGAAGTTGCAGAGAAAAATAAAACACATTTTACACGTATACCGAATAACATTTTTCCCATAAATTTTGCGGTTTTCGAGGTAATTAAACAAAAGAAAGCATATGCGCTGTGATTGTTGCGCTATCTTTGAGTTTCCTGATGTACTACTCATTACTCTCTGTGTTCACAAATTTACAGCATTGTTATTGCTACTTTTTGGATGATGCTATTATAACTGCAGTATTCTGTTCAGCTGTTCCATGACGCAAGTGCTTTTATTTGTAAAAATTGCACAATTACATTTCACAACAGAAATGTAATTCACTTCAGTACACTGAGGCTACTTATGCGCTGCCTGAAAATCCTTCGGCCGCTCCGGCGAGACGGACACAAGTTAGTAGTGTCATCTCGCATCGCGCATGTTCGAGTCTGTGGCCTATTCGACAAGTCAGCATCCCAGACATACTACAGGCTAGCTTATATGTTATATGGCAGCTGACCACAACAGCAGCCCCTGTTACTGTATGACACATTCGGTCAGTCACGTTACAGCTTGTGTTGAAATGCTACGTAAGAGTTACATATTGAAACGAGGGCTAGTGCATGGTACGTACGCATGTCAAAAGCAAGGAAAAGATTACTACGTAAATTTAAGGGGCTAACAGTTCCAAATAAAGAAACTAATCACGCAACAGTAAATAAATTTAAAATTGTTATGGTTGTAATTTTGAAATGTCGAAACAAAACTCCGAGCGCTCACTAGAATGAAACTGAACGAAACTGGTTCCAAGCTCAAACATTATAATCAAAAAATCACTTAGAAGGGGCAGATGCTTGAAATTTCAGGCCTCAAATTCGCTCTGTTTCCGTGAAGTAACTTCAAAACCCGGCCGCGCCATAGCTTAAGCGGTTAGTCGCTGGCTTCCCACCGCGGCGGCCCGGGTTCGGTCCCGGATCTGGTCAAGTGGGATTTGTGGTAGACAAAGTGGCGCTGGGGCAGGTTTTCTCCGAGTACTTCGGTTTCCCCTGCCAATCTTCATTCTACCAATTGCTCCACAATCACCGTCGCCTATCATCTGGGGCTGGTACAATAGGCCAGAAGTGGCCGCAGTACAAAGGACTTAGTCCCACCCCACTAGCAATAAAAGCCCGAACGGATGTGCAAGGAGCGTAACAAGGCCCATATCAGGCATCTGTTGTGACCTGGGTGGGCGCTGTTTGTGATTTTTTTGACATATTAGCCTGTCCACTATGCCATGAGTTCGAAAGCGCGAATAGCCGAGCTTCTTCCCGCCCGAGCGGCCCAAGAATTTTTGAGAAGCTATCAGACAACCTCGCTGTATAATACGAAATGTGGATAACATAAAACATATTCGTATTATAAATTTAATTCAGAAATTTATAGTGTAAGATGTATAATTACTGTGAACTTATAATTTCAAACAGACCTGTTAAACAATAATATTTAAAATAGTAGAAGTGTTGAAGTGATCATGACTAAGTGTACCATAATTAATCAAGACAAGGCAGAATACAAGTTTAGAGTGTTAATTATGTATTGTATTTGTATATGTCTAAGGTGCATATGGTAATAATAGCTGATTAATATATTTAAGTGGCATTTCAATTCTCATGTCGGTAAGTACGAAGACTAACGCTTTTTGGGATGTGGAGACATGTACTTTGGAACCTATCTATCAAACTGCATGAAGACACATCCCAGAAGACTGCAGTCTTGATAGACGCTGCTTCAATAGTTGTGACTGTTATTTATGGCTCATATTAAAACTTTTATTTATACCACAATAAAGGCCGTCCCTAAGCGGTTGGCGGCAGGGGACAAATCAGGCTGTGAGAAGAGGGGCGTAACATTTTATACTGAAAAAAGCAACTAAGTTTGAAGCCAGGTCTTAGTTTCATTGTTCGTAAACGCATACACACAATGGAGTTTATTACTGTGCATACTGAAATCGCTGTTAAGTTCAAAATACAGTAAACTAATCTAAAACCCGACTTCACAATCTGCCTTTGTCCCCGTGTTAGTCATCAGCACCCTTCCAACACTCCACAGTGTCAGTTCAAACTGCAGTAATTCGCAGTACGGTCTGAAATGAATCACCATAAACAGTGCACGCAACTGGGTGCCCCAAAATTAGTTCTTATTTCCTGTAACAGATCCTTTCAAAAACATCATCTTTATAAGTATAGGCTAAACAACAAAAATCAGGAACCAGGTAAAACTGAAAGTAATATGATGGAAAAATAAAATCACTTCTAACGTAAGACAGAATTAAACATCCTTCTTTAGTTGCAGGGTCTGTAACAGAACGAGCCCATTGTTAACAGACCAATGTAACTTTCCTAAGCTTGAGTCAAGGTCCCCGTCTCCCGAATATTAGCGTGAGACAGCCCCTGCAAACTTAAATTATGCGCAAAAGTAAAACGCTCAGAGCAAACAACACAGAATGCGAATATTTTGTGTTAGCATAACAATTCTCTTGCCGGTCACGGTAGCCGAGCGGTCTAAGGCATGCACTGTCTTCGCTCGCTCGGAAGCCGGGATCGTGGGTTCG